ATATTATTCAAGTACTATCTGTTTATTCAAGCCATTTATATAATAAATCCCATTGTTCAGTTGCCTTTTGTATTGGACAGTCCTTCAGCACTTCTGATAAGACATCCATTTCTGCCACTTCCCATATCTTCTCAATAAGTTCTTCTTGTTCCGGTATCACCGATTTCTTCCAATTCTTAGCATAAAGAATTCTGGCTGCAGTGATTATTAATTAATTAATTAATTAATTAATTAATTAATACCCTGCCTATCTGGCCCACCGGACCACTCTAGGCGGCTTCCAAATATAAAATCAAATAATAAAACATAGACAAATACATAATAATCAAACAGCAACAGCAGTAAAAATAAAAAGGAAAAGTAAGAAAAAATCAAGAGTTGGCTGGAGGGAAGGCCTGAATAAACAGCCATGTTTTTAATTGGGTTTTAAAGGTGCCCAGCGTGGAGGCCACGCGAATCGCTGGAGGGAGATTGTTCCAGAGGCGAGGAGCCACCTCCGAGAAGGCCCGGTTTCGTGTCTTCTCCTTCCGGTCCTCTCTCAGCGTCAGGCTCCTCAGCCTCACCTCCTGACTCGCGCGGGTGATCCAGGTAGACCTTGGTGGGAGGAGGCGTTCCGCCAAATATCGAGGTCCTAAACCGTTTAGGGCCTTATAAGTAAGCATTAAAACGTTGAAGTTGACACGGAAACAGATGGGCAGCCAATGCAATGCGGCCAGCGTTGGAGAGTTGTGTTGATATTTTCTCAGTCCTGTAAGGAGCCTGGCCTCCGCATTCTGCACCACCTGAAGTTTCCGTGTCAGCCTCAAAGGCAGCCCCACATAGAGCGTGTTACAGTGATCTAATCTTGAGATTACGAGCGCATGCACCAAGGTAGTGAGCGCCCCCATGTCGAGATAGGGTCGCAGCCCCTATATATACACTAGTTTACTCTGTAGTCAATTTTGAGGGTATTGGTTTCCGTTACGGTGGCCCGATGAGGTGGACAAGATGCTTGAATCGTTCCATCGCACATCACACTACATGTACTTGACCGTTGCCCATCATGGTTGATCGTATCTAGCACAGGTGGATTGACTGGATGGGTTCAGGAGGTAGACAATGTCTCTTTGAAGTTCATATTGCCATGAGACTTTTTGTGCTTAATGAGTGGAATGGACTTAATGAACAAATGGGAGTGAAAGGAAACAAAATGGAATTGCCCATCATGGTTGATCGTATCTAGCACAGGTGGATTGACTGGATGGGTTCAGGAGGTAGACAATGTCTCTTTGAAGTTCATATTGCCATGAGACTTTTTGTGCTTAATGAGTGGAATGGACTTAATGAACAAATGGGAGTGAAAGTAATGGAAACAAAATGGAAAGTGAATAGTTGTTCCACCCGAGTGTACAAATGGGAAAGATAACCCCAGTCAGCAGAGCTCCAGGGCTGGGAGAACTTGGGAGTCGAAAAAAAAGTAACTTTTCAAGTTCTGCATGACATGTGCTATCCCAGAGGCTGGGTTGTGCTGAAAGGAGCAATTTAGACTACTGGGATTTTGGACTGAATCAACAAAGCAGATTTTATGTCCTTTGCTATGTGGGTTTTGGCATGTAGAGGGGAAAATCTGTGTAGCGGAGCGATAGCATCCAGCTGTCGAAAATCTGGATGCTGCATGGTCCAGAAACTTGTTGTCGTAAATACTCTGTGCTTTGTTGATGTTGTTAGTAAAACAGGCTAATGGTAATCATTATTTACCTCTTCCTTGTCCTCCCAGTCGTGTTGTGCAGTGTAGCCATGGATGGGCAATTAGAATTAATGCGAGCAGCACTTGTACGCTGGGTGCCTAGTTTATTTCCAAATGGGAAGGTCAACGTCATTATCCTTGGAGGATTCAATTATCAAATCCTGTAGAACTGCAGCACTTACTTCTTTCTTGTTAATCACATAGAACTCTGCACCACGTTGTTATTTTGTGCATCTGTGTTTGCTTTGCAAGTTTTTGGGGGAGACAATTGTTTGGTTTGTCTAACAAGCAGAGCGAAGGCAAGAAAGGCATTTCCTTCTGTCACGTAGCCTACAGCTCTCATTCCTTAGTAACTTCTCTAGTCTTAATATATTCGCGAAGGCTTTCACGGCCGGGATCTAATGGTTGTTGTGGGTTTTTCGGGCTCTTTGCTGCCCTCTGAAGATGCCGGCCACAGAGACTGGCGAAACATTAGAAAGAACAACCTTCAGAACACGGCACAAGCAGAGCGAAGGCAAGAAAGGCATTTCCTTCGGTCACGTAGCCGACAGCTCTCATTCCTTAGCAACTTCTCTAGTCTTGTTCAGCAGAGCGAAGGCAAGAAAGGCATTTCCTTCGGTCACGTAGCCGACAGCTCTCATTCCTTAGCAACTTCTCTAGTCTTGTTCAGCTGTTTTAATACTAAATCGGTTTTGAATCTGAAGGCCGTTTAAAGAGCCCAAAAAAACCACAACAACCATTCTCTAGTCTTGTTCAGTTGTTTTAATACTAAATCGGTTTTGAATCTGAAGGCCGTTTATCGGAACAAATCCTTTTTATTTACACATGGTAATGAGAAGTTGGGAAAAGATAAATCCTGTGCTGCACAACTGGCCAGGAGATTTCTGGGAGTTGCTAATCCAAAGAAGTAACATTTATGAGCTTTGAACAGATCCTTTGAAACCTGGAAGTTCCTTCTCTGGACAATGAGATGATTAATCTGTTGGAAATATTGCAACCTACATTTGATGCCTTTGAGGGATTTTGGCTGGGAGAAACCTTACAGGACTGGAGTTGAAGGCAATCAGTCAAGTAGCCGCCAGTAGCTCCTTCTCTACCTCAGATACTTTTCCCAGTCAGGAATGTTCTGTCAGAGCAATGGAGTCTGAAGACTAAGCATTCCGTCGGCAATGTAACCAGTTAGTTAGTCATGCAGCTAGTTACCAGTTCCACTTAGTCTACGTAACCAGTTAATATTTTTCCACAATCATGCAGCTAGTTACCAGTTCCACTTAGTTTACGTAACCAGTTAATATTTTTCCACAATATGATGTTTGTTTTTATCTATGAAGAACTGTAAGTAAAAGGAACATCTTATTCCATGTGGCTGAGAAGGCCAATTCGAGAGTGACCATCCCTTCCACAGTGAAGACAAATACAATCTGTCCCCTGCCCAGCTCTCTGATTTTGCTGGTTTTAGGACTGCCTCTTTGCTTTGGCCTGCTGAACAAGTGTCTTTTCAAATTGGGAGAGGCCATGATGCACCGCCTGCCTCCAGGCTGAACGCTCAGATGTCAAGATTTCCCATCTGTAGAGATCCATTCCTAAGGCCTTCAGATCCCACTTGCAGATCTCCTTGGATCGAAGCTGTGGTCTCCCTCTGGGGTGATTTCCTTGCACTAATTCTCCATATAGGAGATCTTTTGGGATCCGACCATCAGCCATTCTCACGACATGCCCAAGCCAACGTAGACGTAAACATCATATTTTCCACAATATGATGTTTGTTTTTATCTATGAAGAATTGTAAGTAAAAAGAACATCTTATTCCTGTTCATTTCCAGTGTCTCTGAGTGAATGATTGAGACAGTAAGTGCCAGTTGAGGTAAGCTAACCAAATAGTGGGTGGTCTACTGAGGGACACTTGAAACCAATCTGCTTTGAGGGTCCCTGAACATTTATCTGCTGTTTAATTAGGAAGCCTTTAAAGCCACACTCATTTTATCACAATTCTGCCCAAGATCATTTAAACTGGGGTAAACAAAATATGGTCCTTGAGATACCATTGGACTACAATTCCCATGTTTCTTCAACATTGACTACACAGCCTAAGGATCTAGCACATACTTATTCATCTTTCTGAGAGTTTAAGATATCAGTAAAACTCTCATCCGACACTACGTTTTGAATGAATTGCTGCCAGCTTTCTTTGCTTTCCAGCTTTCACATCCATAAATAATAACTGAGAAACAAATTAAATAATAAAATTATTCATTGGGAAACTAATTAAATATTAAAA